AGAATGACATCTTCATTCTTATATATCCCAGGTAAAGAATGTTCTCTGAATTTATTCACACAGCTCTCTGTATGTATATATATGACAGTACTTTTTCTTTCTTTCTTCCTCTCACTTTTCTTCTTCCTTTCCTTTCCCCCTTTTTTTTTTTTTTAAGATTTTAGGTATTGGGCACCTGGGTGGCTCAGTCGTTAAGCGTCTGCCTTTGGCTCAGGTCATGATCCCAGGGTCCTGGGATCGAGCCTTGCGTCGGGCTCCCTGCTCTGTGGGAAGCCTGCTTCTCCCTCTCCCACTCCCCCTGCTTCTGTTCCCTCTCTCGCTGTGTTATCTCTGTCAAATAAATAAAATCTTAAAAAAAAATTTTATTTATTTGAGAGAGAGAGTGCGTAAGTGGAGGGAGGAGCAGAGGCAGAGACTGAGGGAGAAGCAGGATCCCTGCTGTGCAGGGAGCCCACCATGGGGCTTGATCCCTGGACCCTAGGATCCTGACCTGAGCCGAAGGCAGACGCTTAACCGTCTGAGCCACCCAGGCATCCCTGACAGTACTTTTTCTGATTAAGGCAATCAGTGCAGTAAATACTTGAGACTTTGCAAACACTTGGCTTCAAATATGTGATAATATCATCTTGACCTTGCTAGACCTGATCAAATTCAAGTCCAACGAAAAGTGAAGCCCTGAGGTAACTAAGAACAACCCTGCCCGGTCTTTTTTTTTTTTTTTAAGATTTTGTTTATTTATTTGACAGAGAGAGATACAGCAAGAGAGGGAACACAAGCAGGGGGAGTGGGAGAGGGAGAAGCAGCCTCCCCGCTGACCAGGGAGCCCAAAGCAGGGCTCAATACCAGGACTCTGGGATCATGACCTGAGCTGAAAGCAGACACTTAACCGACTGAGCCACTCAGGCGCCCTTATTTTTAATTCTTTAACCAACCTATTAGAAATATGGCAAAGCACTTAGAACAATCCAGAGAATATAAGAATATTGAGAATATAAGTAACTGTATAAAAATACATCCTTGAAAGCAGTAAACATAAACAGCAGTTAAATACAGGGAAAATACAGTGATTTACTTGTAAAGAAAGCTTATTCAGGAAATTCTATTAGCTTCATTAACCTCTCCTGAGCAAAAGAGTCTAAGTACCCTTCCGTCCAAAGTCATTACCAGCTTTAATACTTTATGATTCTACTTTACCTTCATATACTGAACTATACTACTACTATAAAAACTTGTTTTACCTATACAAATCTTTTTTTTGGTAAAGAGGTAAAAGTGCTTAGTAAATAATATTAAAAAAAGCTGAAAAACCAAAGGTAAGCCAATCTTTCAAGATTACTTTAAACACAAAAAATAAGGGAATTATCCTATAACTAACTCATCCTAATGGCGAAGGGAAAAAATGAGTAAAGAAGCACTCCCATACCTGGGAACAACTGTAATCTAGTATTTTTATGTGGGCACTGAGAGCTAAGTCCATGATGTCTACAGGCACATCATCACTATGGGCCAGATTCCAAAGCAGGTTCAAAACTTTGTGTGCCATCACACCATCTTTATCATCTTCTGCAAGACGACGAATCAGCTCCAGTAGCTTTTCGCGTTGCTTTTTACTTGCATTTGTCCAACTTGCCTAAAAAAAAAAGGGTAAGTTATGTAAACATCACAAACATCACATTTTATATAACCACTTATATTAAGTCATTACTGTTTTACAAGTCTTTCAATAAACTACACTGAATTCAACACAGCCATACACACAAACCAACAGCTTAGCTTAACTGAGCATTTAATTAACCATGTCTCATTTGAGAAAACTAACAGTATTCTTGGGACAGAATAATCTAAATTCAAGAAAAAACCCTCTATTTACAAATAACTCTATCACTAATGACTTTAAAATTCCATATTAGAAATAAAAAACACCAAATACAAAACATGTTAAGTCCTAAAATTAAAAAAAAACAACAACCCACAACTCAATTACAAAGTGGGCAAAGGACTTAGACACTTTTCTAAAGAAGATACATTTGTCCATTAGCACATGAAAAGATGCTCAACATCACGGATTACTAGGGAAATGTAAATTACAATGAAACAGCACCTCACACCCATCAGCATGGCTATCACAGACACAAAAAAATATCAAGTGTTGGTGAAGATGTGGAGAAATTACAAATGTTGTGCATTGTTGGTAAAAAAGTAAAATGGTATAGTCACTATGGAAAACAGTACAGCAATTCCTCAAAAAATTAAAAATGAAATTACCACATCACCCAGCAATTCCAGGGGTAGGTATATACATACCCAAAAGAACTGAAAGCAGTCTCAAAGAGATATCTGTACACTTGTGTTCATAGCAGCATTTTTATTCACAACAGCTAAAATGTGGAAGCAGTCTAAATTGTCGATCAATGAAGAAATGGATAAACAAAATGTGGCATATCTATACAATGGAGTATTTATTCACTTAAAAAGAAAGAAAATTCTGAAACATGTTACAATATGAATGAAACTTGAGTACAGTATGGTTAGTGAAATATGTCAGTCACTAAAGACAACAAATACTGTATGATTTTACTTGTATGAAGTATCATAGCAGTCAAAATCATATAGACAGAAAGTAGAATGATGGATGCCAGGGCCTTCAGAGACTGGGAATGAGTTGTTATTGTCTAATGGGTATAGAGTATATGTTTATAGAAAAAAAGAGCTCCGGAGACAGACTGAATCCTGGTTATAGTTGCACAACATTACTGCTGTATTTAATACCAAAGAACCATACACTTAAAAATAGTTAAGATGGTAAATTTTATGTTGTGCATTTTAGCACAATTAAAAATGGGAAAAAATTTTGTTTTTAATTTTTTAAATGATTTTGTGAGTGTTAATGATGAGATGACAGATGTTAGAATAACAAAAGATATTCAAACAGCCATACACAGAGGTATTTCTATATACTACAGAAAAATAGAAACCTAAAAAAATATAGAACATTCCTCAGGGCAGCAGGAAAATTACGAAAGAAATGAAAAATGGAAGAGAACAAACAATACAATGAATAAAATAACAAGCTTAAACCCTAACGTATCAAAAATCACATTAAATATAAATGG